ATCTTTCTGCAAGGTTCTCACTCGTTGTTTGACATTAAAACATAAGATTTCTGGATTAAAATGAGAACAACCACTGTTACTGCTACTTCTGTCATGTGTTGTTACTGCCTCTGACACATTAAGTTAGAAGTTACTATAAAAAAACAGAGGATGCATTTCATTATCCTGTTTAATGTTGCATTTTGTACCTAAATGAAATACTGGAAAACATTTCTGCCAGTGCTGGTGTTTAACTTTATTTAGGGAGAATTTGAGTGAGCATTGTCTTCTCCCTATGTCATGGTCCAAGCTCATTCTATGCTTCATGCATTAACCGTAATGTGGTTTTTTTTTAAAAAAAATATTTATTTGGCTTTTATTTTAAATATGCTGAGTGGAGTGTACAAAATACAAAACAAATTGAGATGTATTCAAAACCATGAAGCTGAATGAGACTCACTGGGCAATATCCACACACATTCAGAGTATCTTGGTCTCCTTTGAATGCAGCCCTCATGGGAGTAATTATCTTAACTTAGCCTTTAAGTGATTTGACTGCCAAGGCAAAACCAACAAAGAATGTCTCATGCATTCAAGGCAGAAGTCCATAACTGTATTTCAATATTGGTTTTGAAACCAAACATATCTGGACAGGTGAAACCAACACATAAGCAAGGAAGCAGTAGTATTTCATGGACAAGTACGTAGTGCAGGACTACTGGTACATTTTTAATTAGGCGAGGTAATATTTTTTATTTTTTTTGGTTTAATGGTTTGAGCTTACTATCATTCTTCAGCCTATCACTGTTCATGTCCTGCCACTCTAAGAAGTAAGTCTGAACATCATTCACCACTCTCTGTCCAAACAGCCTGAATCCAACTTATTAGAATAGAATGAATAGAGCCTTTAACTTCTCTACAGAGATACTATTGTTAATTAAAACGAAGTCCTTTCCATACACAGTGCTAACAGTTCTAGCTCTGCATCCATTCTCCAAACAATATATGACACTGATGGATAAACTCAATTAAAGCATGAACATTACAGAAGTAATGTGGAGAGCTGAAGTGATCTTTACCAATACACCTTTAAAAGTTGCAATAAATATTTCAAAATAAATTATGCTGAGGATACCGGTTTGCTAGATTGGATGGAAATTCAAGTCAACTCTTCTGATTAAGATTGTTTTTGGTTAGGCAACGGTGTTTGTTTTCTCTCTAATTATGTCATACTATCTTACAGATAGCTTAAAACCAGAGCGCATCCAGTGCAAAAAACACTTCTGCTTTTTCCATACCTGATAATGAAGTGGGATTTCTTCTGTGATTTGACATTTTCTTGCAGTTCACCTTTTTCAATGTAACAAATATTTTTATACAGAGTGCACAGTATCTAAGTGTATACAGTAACTGCTGTTAAGAGCGCACTAACTCCTAAAGCAAAATACCAGGACCTAAAAGATACACATACAGAACTCTAATGAGCTGAATTACTTTTTCGCAAATGTTAAAACTGTGCTTGGGGATTGATCTCATGATTAACACTTAAAAATTTAAGTGATTTAATGAAAAAGAAAAAATTGCCAAAAAGAAAAGAACAACTCCTTTGTTAAGTCCTGCATTTGCTAGTAAACTGAGATGTTGATTTGTTATATCTCCTTGCAAAGGGGGCAATGATTTTCACTCTATCCTTTTCAGTAACTTTCCTTCACAGAAGAGCTTAAAAACTGTTTTTTTCACCTAGGCAAGATTTTCCTCTGCATAGAGCTTTCTGTCAGGTAAAAGGTTTATCATTAAGGACCTTTACATTACACCAGTCTACTGGAGATAGATCTGCTTTTCTGGACTGGAGAGATGGAGATACAATTCAGTGCAGACCTCTGTTTTAAATTATTATGCTGGGAACTGGATAACCAAGGAACTACAAAGGAGCTATCAAGCCAAATCAATAGGGCTTTTTTTTTTCTCTGCCTTGGGTCCTTCCTGTTAGATTTATAGTTTTAAGTTTGTTACTTTATAGTCATCCATTTTCAATATTTTTTTAAAAGAAAAATCTACATAATCGAGACAAATTTTCAACATTTTCTTTAAACTTTAAACCAGAACTTTGTGGAAGCATCCATCTTTAACACTTTTTTATTGATGGTGTTCCTGGGCTGAAATGTTCATTTAATGTCAGTAAAATATTTCAATAAGCATATTCTGAATTTTTTAGATTTATCCTATTAGGATTTCCATAAGCTTTATTTCAGACTTGAGAGTATTTTAACAATTCAGAGGGCTTCAAATTTTTATTCCATTTTAAGAGATGACTTCTGCTTGATTTTGCCAGGGTAGAATTGAACCAAAAATATCCACTTTATAAAAAACTGTATTTAATGATGACTATTTAATTCACACTGAAAATGATTAAATTACTTAAGTCCACATGGGATAACTTTATTGGAATTGAAATGTGCTAAACATCTGCAAGTACCAAAGTATAAAAGAAGTGGGAAAAAACTTTATAGTAGCACATCAATACTGAATGTCTCGAAAACTGATCCTTGGCCACTGTTTTTCTAGACCCTTAAAGAAAGCATTTTTAATGTTAAAATACACTTTCTGCCATCTATCCTCCATTTGTTAAAGCCCTCAGAAATGATAATGGGAGAAATGTCTGTGGATGTGATGGGGTAGTATATTTAAATCACTTTTCTCTGAAGATTAGTGACACACAATATTTTAAACCTACTAATCTCAGTGATGGGTGCATAAGGAATACTTGTATACTTGTATATCTAATAGTTTTAATTTTATTAATATGCAGTTATTTTTGTACTTGGGAGGATGGCCCAGAGGCTAAAGTACTTGACTTAGGTGTAAAAAAACCCCAGGGTCAATTTTCAGTTAAGGCACAGTTATCCTTTGTGGCATGGGGTTGATCATCTCAATATGCCTGTGCCCTTGCTCTTCATCTGTAATATAAAAATTGTGTTTCCTTCACAGAGCTTTATAATTCTAAAGAACCATTCATAGCTGTGACAGATTTAGCCACCATGGTGGAGTGTCTGGCTTCTGCCTCCATAGAATATTAAATTCAGGCAATTTGAGAAAGAATTTACCAGATAACATTGGCCACATCACTTACAGGAGGTAATGATGCACCTAATAATCATGCAATAAAATAGTGACCTTTACAAGAATATCCGCTTCAAGTACGATAGGGGCAAATCAGAACAATCTGTGTGTAACCAAATGATCTTTTGTCAGTTTGTACAGTTGCATGTGACACAATGAAGTGAATGTGGATGGTAATGTCAGAACCAGCTTTAAAGGCACAACTAACCTTTTTTTGATCTTTCTGTTGAATAGACAGTATTAGACTAGACTCAGGTAAGAAATATTTCCCACTGTGGGTGGTTTATTCTATAATTTTTCTAAATGCTAGGAAGTATGAGAACTATTTTATTTTTTTTCAGTTGCGTAAATACCTGCCATAAATGACTTGGGAAGATGAAAAAGACACTGCTAACAACCACTAAGCCCCTGGTCTGCAGCTACTGAATCTTGCTGTTTCTGCCTGTGGACATGCTTTTAAGTCAGATGTGTTAATTTTTCACTGCTAATGACCTGGCTGGAGCCCAACCAAAGCTGCAAAGGTGGAATTTAAATCAATGGGCTGCCTTATTATTTCCAAGCAATTTTTTGTCATTGGTAACTTGTACAGAAGATCCTACACAGGAATATTTTGTGTCTCCTAATGCAGGTGGGGCTGGTGGCCAAACAACTTACAATTTACGAACTGAGGCAGTGTAGGGTGTCCAGATATGTGCAAAACACGACTCTGGAAACCCTTCCTCTGTTTTTCTTTTAAGATATAGGAAAACTGGGATTATGCAGTGAACTACAGAAGAGATAAAACTGATGATGAATATTTATCTATACTTTACTCTTTGCAGATAACTTTCCATGCTGTCTCCTGTTGACTTTTCATATATATGTAAGTTTTGTAATGATACATGTGCAGAACTCAGGCTTCCTAACCTGAGCCTTATTCCTGTAGGTAAAAAAATAATTAAAAAGTAGGACAGCTGGCATAGCATCAACTAAATTCTTACAAAAGTATATATTTTAGCTCACTTTTATAGGAACGGAAGATGCATAATGGCCTATTTAAAAAAACAAAAAAACAAAAACCACAACAAAAAAAAAAAGCAAACAAAACCAAAACAAGAAACCCAGCTTTAAATAGCCATATTGGTAATAATTTTAATTTCAGAAGATGATAGAAAAATTGGCTTTTGTGTTTAAAAACAAGCCAAAATGCATAGAAACTGATGACTGAACCTTCAGCTAAGTTATTGTAAAGAAACAGCCTGAGATTGCCTTTCAAGTCTCTTAAGCTGCTTGCAGGCACTGTGGTTTTTCTCTTCCTGTATTGTATTTGAGAAATTGGCTGTGGAGGATGTACTGGATGATCCAGGCTTCAAACAGATCTTTGACTTTGTCCCTTTCAGTCAGCCATCTCTGCAGTGAAGTATGACTTGGCATCAGCTTATCAGACTTATTTTCCTTTGACCTCTGGAAGGTGCTATTCTGTGATCAAAAGAGCAGCATGTTTGGTAGTCATGCCTTCTATGAGTTCCTCATGCTGGCTGTGCAGGCTCTGGAACAAATGAGTTCCACAGTGATTTTCTCAGGAATATGAAGAATAAAAAACAAACTCCAAAGCTACAAATCACACCAGTTTTGTTTAGAGGCACAGTTTGTGAATTGGATGGTGATTTGTCTGACATTTCACTTCTCATAGAGTGACCTTACCTTTGTGTACTCTTTCTGCCTGAAAATGAAGTGCAAAAACTGTGATCGCTCCACTACAAGTGACTGTCAGACAAATTACCATCCACCTAGCAAGCAGTTAAGAAACCTCTGATGTGTTTGCATGCCCATCTAGCATCTAGAGTACTTACTTTGTACACAGTGCAGTTCTGTTCTTTTTTAGTGAAACGTTATTTGGAGTCTCTTCTAAAGGAGAACTGCTAAGAAGACTACTGGATGGTGAGCCAGGTAGAGTTCCAACATTTGCACTAGTGATAATAGTTTGATCATTTTATCTGGACTATAGATTATGCTTTTTCCTTCAGCACTAGAGGCTTTGCCACGTTCAAGAGGCCTCATAAAGTTTTGTGCTAATAGATACTTCCCAAGAAGAATCACTTTCTGAATTTGTGTCACACATCTCTGTACTCCAGTACTGTTCTTGAGCTCATTTATTTGGATTGTTACTCTTTTTTACCTGTTTTTCTTTTTTATTAGTACTTGGCCAAGAGTGTGTGGGATGTTGTGTTTTTTCAGTTTTGAGTATTTTTGTCTTGTATCACAGTATCACAGTATGCTGGAGATTGGAAGGGACCTCAAAAGATCATCTAGTCCAATCCCCCTGCCAGAGCAGGAACACCTAGATAACGTTACACAGGAATGTGTCCAGGCGGGCTTTGAATGTCTCCAGGGAAGGAGACTCCACAACCTCCCTGGGCAGCCTGTTCCAGTGTTCCGTCACCCTCACTGAGAAGAAGTTCCTTCTCAAGTTTAAGTGGAACCTCTTGTGTTCCAGTTTGCACCCGTTACTCCTTGTCCTATCATTGTTTGCCACTGAGTAGAGCCTGGCTCCATCCTCGTGACACTCCCCCTTTATATATTTATAGACACTTATAAGGTCACCCCTCAGTCTCCTCTTCTCTAAACTATAAAGACCCAGCTCCCTCAGTCTTTCCTCATAAGGGAGATGCTCCACTCCCTTAATCATCTTGGTTGCCCTGCGCTGGACTCTCTCCAGCAGCTCCCTGTCCTTCTTGAACTGAGGGGCCCAGAACTGGACACAATATTCCAGATGGGGTCTCACCAGGGCAGAGTAGAGGGGAAGAAGGACCTCTCTCGACCTACTAACCACCGCCCTTCTAATGCATCCCAGGATGCCATTGGCCTTCTTAGCCACAAGGGCACAGTGTTGGCTCATGGTCATCCTGTCGTCCACTAGGACCCCCAGGTCCCTCTCCCCTACACTGCTCTCTAGCAGGTCGTTCCCCAACATATACTGGAACCTGGGGTTGTTCCTGCCCAGATGCAGGACTCTACACTTTCCCTTGTTATATTTCATCCCGTTATTCCCTGCCCAACTCTCCAGCCTGTCCAGGTCTCGCTGGATGGCAGCACAGCCTTCTGGCGTGTCAGCCACTCCTCCCAGCTTAGTGTCATCAGCAAACTTGCTGATAGTACACTCAATTCCCTCATCTAAATCGTTGATGAATATATTAAATAATACTGGTCCCAGTACTGACCCTTGAGGCACTCCACTAGTTACAGGCCTCCAACTAGACTCAGCCCCATAGACCACAACTCTCTGGCTTCTCTCCTTCAGCCAGTTCGCAGTCCACCTCACTACCTGGTCATCCAGTCCACACTTCCTCAATTTAGCCGTGAGGATGCTGTGGGAGACTGTGTCAAAGGCTTTGCTGAAGTCAAGGTAGACCACATCCACCGCTCTGCCATCATCCATCCACCGTGTTATTTCCTCATAGAAGGCTAAGAGATTGGTCAAACATGATTTCCCCTTGGTGAAGCCATGTTGACTGCCCCTCATAACCCTCTTATCCTTGATATACTTTAAGATGGCACCAAGGACAAGGTGTTCCATCACTTTCCCAGGGATGGAGGTGAGGCTGACCGGTCTATAGTTACCCGGGTCCTCCTTCTTGCCCTTTTTGAAGACTGGAGTGACATTTGCCTTCCTCCAGTCCTCAGGCACCTCTCCCGTTTCCCAGGACTTGGTAAAGATGATGGCGAGTGGTCTAGCAATGACTTCCGCCAGTTCCCTCAGCACCCGCGGGTGCATCCCATCTGGACCCATGGATTTATGGATGTCCAGATTGCTCAACTGATCTCTAACCCATTCCTCATCGACTAAGGCAAGTCGCTCCGTCGACCTGACTTCATCTAAGGTCTCAGGGGTACAGGGCTCTTCAGGACTGCCTGCGGCAGAGTAGACAGAGACAAAGAAGGCATTCAGTAACTCTGCCATCTCTGTATCTTCTGTCACCAGGGCACCCATCCCGTTCATCAGTGGGCCTACATTGCCTCTGGTGTTAGTTTTGTCTGCCATGTACTTGAAAAAGCTCTTTTTGCTGTCCTTGACCCTTCTTGCCAGGTTTAATTCTAAGGAAGCCTTAGTCCTCCTAGCTGCCTTCCTACATCCCCTAGCAGCAGCCTTATATTCCTCCCAAGTGGCCAGCCCCTCCTTCCATGACCTGTAAACTCTCCTCTTCCACTTGAGCATACCCAGCAATTCCCTATTTAGCCACACAGGTCTCTTGGCCCTCTTCCTTGACTTCCTACGTGTCGGGATGCTCCGATCTTGAGCTCGGAAAAAGCAGTCCTTGAATGTCAACCAACTATCTTGGGCCCCTTTTCCTTCAAGCAGCCTTGCCCACGGGATTTCCCCTAGCAATTGCTTGAAAAGGCCAAAATTTGCCCTGCTAAAGTCCAGGGTTGCAATTCTACTTGGTATTCTACTAGTCCTACCACACAAGATCCTGAACTCCACCATCTCGTGGTCGCTGCAACCAAGGCAGCCCTCTACCCTTACTGCTTCAACCAGACCCTCCTTGTTAGTGAGGATGAGATCCAGCAGCGCTCCTCTCCTGGTCGGCTCATCCACCATTTGCAGGAGGAAGTTATCATCCACACACTGGAGGAACCTCCTGGACTGCGGCTGGGTTGCCGAGTGGTCCTTCCAGCAAATATCAGGGAAGTTAAAATCCCCCACGACGACCACGGCCTGTGACTGTGAGGCCTCTCTCAGCTGCCTGTAGAAGGCCTCGTCAACTTCCTCACCCTGATCTGGTGGTCTGTAACAGACACCTACAACAGTATCCCCCCTGCCAGCCTGCCCCTTAATTCTCACCCACAGACTCTCAACTCGCTCATCATCTGTCCCCAGACAGAACTCGGTGCATTGTAGTTCCTCCCGCACATAAAGAGCGACCCCACCACCCCTCCTGGCTGGCCTGTCTTTCCTGAAAAGGACATAGCCCTCCATGACTATATTCCAGTCATGTGAGCTGTCCCACCAAGTCTCTGTAATTGCCACCAGATCATAGTCTCCTGACTTAACACAGGTTTCCAACTCCTCCTGCTTATTTCCCATGCTGCGCGCATTGGTGTACAGACATTCCAGGGAGCGAGCTGAGCACACCGATTTCACCCTAGGATTATAGGAGGCCTCCCAGTCTTCATTAATTCTGGAGCGCTGCCCCACTGGGGCAAGCCCAGCAACAACCCCATCCCCCTTCGAATCTAGTTTAAAGCTCTCCAAATGAGCCCTGCTAATTCGTGCCCCAGCATCCTTTTGCCTCTGTGAGACAAACCTTTCTCACTTGACATTGTCCAGACTGGTGCCCTATAAAACCAGCCATTATCAAAGAATCCAAAGCCCTGCCTGTAGCACCAGTCTCGTAGCCAATCGTTCATGAACTGAATCTTCCCATTCCTTCCCACATCATCAGTGGAAGATGGAAGGAGTGCAGAGAAGATCACTTGAGCCCCAGACTCTTTCACCATCCTCCCCAAGGCCCTGTAGTCTTTCTTCATCCCCCTCAGACTGCGGGAAGCAGCTTCCTCCCCACCTGTCTGGAAGACCAGCAGCGGGTAGTAGTCTGTCGGGTGCACCAGGCTGGGGAGCGCCCTGGTGATATCCCTGATCCGGGCTCCAGGCAGACTACACACTTCCCTATGATGAGGGTCAACTCTGCATATCGGGCCCTCTGTTCCTCTCAGAAGGGAGAATCTCTGTTGTTTTTTATGCATTGGCTTTAAGACAAGTTTGCTCTGTTATGTTCCCAAATACATCCCCCTTTTCAAGTTAGATGTGGGTTTTATTTTTTCCCCTAGGAAAAATACAGAGTTTAGAAAATGATAGAAAGAACTGAATCTTCTCAAAGGTCACACTCTCACCTATTTTCTTATCATTCATAGAGTTTTCCTGGCTACCATTCAGATCATTTTACCTTTCTGTAAGGTGTTCTGTTGTAAAGGTGTTCTGTTGTAAAGCCAGTCCGAAGTACGATACCTTTTCCTCTGTGATGGTAGCTTTCTCTATATTTGTTTTGGAACAGTCACTGGGGTAAGGTAAGGAGCAATAATGTGAAAGCGTAGTAGCATCTGTCCTCCACCACCAGCAGGATAGGCAAAATGTTAAAGCTATATCAAATTCAACTTCATTTGGAGCTTTATAATCTTCTCTATGGGAAAAGTTTAATAAGTGATAGTATATTAGGAAACCTTGAAGAAAGAGCAAATACCTGGCAGCTTTTTTGTCTTGAACTATAATGACAGTAAATTTTTGGCAACTGAGGAAATCTGTCTCTTTGATTACTTGGGTAACTGGTGAATGAACAATGCTCGTGGTTAGCAGCGACCTTACCCTGCTGAGCAGCTGGGGTTGTGTTTCAGGATCTTCTCTGAAGGCTTCTAGACAGACTGATCAGTGACCCGCTGAAAGGATTCCTTTGTGCAGGCACTGGGCATGCAATAACCCACCAAAGCTAGTGGATTGGATCTCAGATAATGTTGCCTTTTAGGGCCTAATGCTCACAGAGTAACTACGGTAAATTACCACTTCATGCACCACACATTTTAATGGATCCTCCATCAGAACGTAAGTGCTTTGAAGTGATGAAAAAAAAAAAAAATAAACTTACTTTAAGATAAAAACATACTCAAAGGAAAAATCTGAGAGGATTGAGAGACTCCCAGCAGTGGAAGTCACGTGCAGTATCATGGCCTTAACTAGTGCGCCCGTGGGAGCTCTTGCTGTGGTCAGTAGAGAGAAGGATAAGCATGGTTTAGGGAATATGTGGTACATATGAGTATTCTGATGATACAAATTTTTTTATGGAATCACCTATTTCTCTAGTAACTACGAAGAAGAAATAAATAGATGGTTTATAAATCTACATGTACAGTGAGACTAGTTGAATCCCATCTCTGCTGTATTTACTGAGGCTTCACAG